TTATTCCCTACTCAATTATATTGCCTGTTAAGAAGATCATCCAATGTTTCACACCAAAGTTAAATGACACAAAAAAAGGACCAAAATGGATCGATGGTCTTTTACTTTTAGTAAGATGTAGAAGTCTTCGCTATGAGGAATTTCGTGTGGCTACACCCTTTTAAGTTTAATTATCTCAAATGTCCTCATTTAATACATAATTATGGACTGACAAAATATTTTCCAGTCAACAGCACTCTAAGGTGGATGACCACAGATCATATTTGCTCAACTGGGACTAGTGCTAGCTCTTGTCTCTCTTCCCACCTTTAATTTATGAAATGTAACTTTAAGAAAAAAACCCAAGGTGTGCTATACAATGACTTTTTTGGGGAAGTGCACTTAATAACCCCAATTAATACTTGCTAGTGATTTAGAGTCATAAACTACTCTCAATGCAGCACATTCATTTAAATCTTTAATAGTGAGCTACATAGGGTGATAATATCAGTTTTCTTGGGATACCAATTCTGACAAAATTATTAATGTTTTCCTTTCACTGCTAAGTGTACTAGTTTGCATGAGAATATACTCCAGAGATATACCAATTCCATTTTACAGATAGGAAAACCAAGCTTTAGTAAAAAGTCAGTAAGAGAAAAAGGACAAATTTATGTCTTTATTATCACAAAACTCACATTGAGATCTTTATTATGTGGGCCACCTCTCAAGAAACAAAAAATGCAACCAAGACAAAAAACAAAAAAAAAAAAAAATGGTCCATACTAATAAGAGGTAAGAAAAAACTGCTACAAAAATTGAGTTAATATACATGGTGGTATTGAGGAAGAGAAAGACATAGAGGTACAGACAGCAAGATGAAGCGTTTTGCACATACAGTACTGCACTGTCAGTGATGGCAATCATTGATCTATGCGTGGGTAGATGGGTCTACAGGCTGAACGATCAGGTTTGTCTAGGCAGGGGGGAGTGTGCCCAAGATAGGATTGGTAAATGATGTTTCTGTAAGTTTATTTGTATGTGCTTAAAATTGGCCAAGGAGCGCTGGTAGCATAGTACCTAAGGCACTTGACTGCTAACCAAAAGGCTGGCGGTTCAAACCCACCAGCCACTCCTCGGAAGGAAGATGGGGCACTCTACTTCCGTAGTGATACTGCCTTGGAAACCCAAGGAGGGGTCGCTATGAGTTGGGTCCGACTCAATGGCACATACCAATAACAAAGATTAGCCAAGTATATAGCAGAGCTAACAAGGAACAAGGCTGTAGTGACTTCGTGGCCACAGCCAGCTACCCAGAGGGAGCAAGTAGTTGGACCTGTGGGCTCAGGACCACAAGGGACAAGGGACAGTAAGCTCACTGGCATAACACAGTACACAAAAACATCATTCCACATCGTACTTTGGTGAGTAGCAACTGGGATCCTAAAAGCTTGCAAGCAGCTATCTAGATCCAACGATGGGTCTCTCCATCATCCAGAGCAAAGAATGAAGAAAACCAAAGACGTGTGGAAACACCTAGTCAGTCCAAGGGACTGGTGCACCATACAAATCCTTAGCCTATATGACCATGAGACCAGAAGAAACTAGATGGTGGTCAGCTACCACTGTCAACCACTCAGGGGGATCTGTGTAGGAGATCCTGGATAGAGTCGGAGAATAATATGGAACAAAATTCAAAACTACTGGGGGGGGGGGTTGTTTGCTGGTCTAATATAGCTTTGTGAAACCCCTGAGACTGCTGCCCTTTAGGTCTGGAATTGAACTCACTCCTGTGGCTTCCAGCGAAATAACAGACAGGTATATGGGCTGAACATTTGTATCAGGGAGGTACACTCCTTGGAGAGATCAGTGTATGCATGGGGGATGGGAAGGGTGCATGGACACATGGAAGAGGTAACTGTGGAACTATGGGGAGGAAATGGGAAAAGAATTGCTGCATTGTGGGAAACTGCAGGCAATGTCATGAGACAAAACGTATATGAACTGCTGTATAGAAAATGGATCTGCTCTTTCACCAAAATCACAATAAAAACTGGGGGAAAAGAAAATCGAGTTAAGACACTGCTTTTTTTACATCCTGAATAATACAGTTTCTGGTTTAGCCTGTCTTTCCATAACACTAAAGTGAAACATCAAAGCTATATAATTCCTTTCTCTGCTAATCACATAAGTTTACTATTTTAAAGGCACATAGTACATCTGTACCTTCCAGTCCAAAACTGGGACAATCTTATTCACATTTTTCCTCCTTAACACCTAGCACAGTGCCTTCCACATTCAATTAGTTTAAGATTTTTTTTAGGGGAAAGGAAGAATCAACTTCCTATTAAGCACTTTCCTTAGGCCCAGGGAGTCAATGCCGTATTATGCTAACACTGTGGTGGCAATAAGACATTCCTACCTCTCCTGATTTCCACTGGATTAGCACCTTTACTAATCTTCTCAAAGCCTTCCTTTGCAATAGAGCGTGCCAGAACAGTAGCAGTGGTAGTGCCATCCCCAGCCTCTTCGTTTGTGTTATTGGCAACATCCTGAACAAGTTTGGCCCCAATATTTTTGTATTTATCCTTTAAGTCAATCGACTTTGCAACGGTCACACCATCTTTTGTTACTTTGGGACTTCCCCAACTTTGTTCAATAATCACTGTTCTTCCCTAGGTGGGGGGGAAAAAAAAAACAGAATTATACTCTGTAACTAATTGGTTAAAACAGAATGAGCAATCTTAGTAACAGAACAATTATGTGAAAACCTCAAAAAAAAAAAAAGCTGTAACATTTTCATTAGTCCTATAATATACACACAAAATGACCTGTTACTCAGCCAAATGCAAACTGTGGATGAAGCATTACAGAAGATAAAAAACCTAAGGACTAACAGATGTCATATAATGAACAATAATGCAGAATAGCAATTCTAATAGACTACAATAAAAATTCAGAGTATTTTCCCCATTATTCATAGACACACTTGAGGTGCTATGGGAGATTAAAAAGTTACACTCTTCCCTCTATACTTGGCAAGAACTATTGGGAAAGGATCCAAAATTTAACTCAAATTTGCAAGCAAAATTAGTTCTACCTTGAGTTTAAAATTCACCTTTTACCACTAGATTACATCACACACTGTACAAATTAGTTTTGAAAATCTGACTGAAGCAGTTAAAGTTTTAAGACTATTGCATCTAAGCAAAATAAACAATAAAATTAATGCTATAATAAAACAAAAATACTGATACCTTTGGCCCCATAGTAACAGCTACAGCATCTGCTAAAAGGTCTACACCTTGAAGCATTAAGGCTCGGGCGTCTGCACCAAATTTTACATCTTTGGCATAAGCCCGAGTGAGATGAGGAGCCAGTGTCCTGCACACTGGTCGCATCCGTCGAAGAACTGCAGGTAATCGGAGCATTTCTGGAGGAGAAAAAAAGCAGGTAAGTACTAGCACTACCCAAGGCGCGTTGCAGCACAAACACGCCACCTGTGCAAAGGAAAGAGAAACGTTAGGCGTGACCTCCGCTAGCCTCGGAAAGCGGCCCTTCACCAGCTTAACGCAAGAGGCCGCAACCATGTCTGGTCTATAACACAAACACAAAGAACACCCATCTCCTTCCCCATGGCCACTCATCCCTACCGCTGAAAACGAGTTAATGTTTCACCGCTGAAACAGCCCTGAAAGCAAATCCACTCCAAACGTGCTCATGAAAAACTAAGTCAAGTAGAGAGGGGCATGCGGTAAACCGGCGTGACCGTATAAGCGAAAATATTCCTGATATTGCAAAACGGTGCTCAGGAAGAACTGTCTCCATGTTATCTTCCCAGAACTACTGTACCTGAGCAGCCACTAAGGCCGCGATGCTGGGGGCAGCGGTCCGGTCTGGTCCACTCTGCGCGGCCCCACGTGTCTTTCCATCAGGGAGCGCCAAGCAAGGTCAAGGGTGGAAGCGCCGTACCCCCGCTGTCGCGGGGCAAAATGCGGTTCCACGCGGCAGCGCCTGACCTTCCCGACGTCCCGCAATCTGCCCTGGGGGCCCATGTGAACACAACCCCCCAGCTTCTATTCCCCAAACAAGCTTTCTCTCCCGTATTGTGCCCGAACCCGCGCTCAGCGCCACTCGTGATGAGACCCCACATGGACCAATGAGGCCTAGTCCAACAGGACTAACCCTACAGGGCCGCCAGGAAGCTCTGGCTCTCGCCCAGCCAGCCCCACTGTGGCCAGGCCGCAGCAAAGGAAGTAAAGCTTGGAGGTTGGAGCCGTCAGGGTGAGGCGGCACCGAGCAGCCACGTACCTGCGGGGCGACCGGCGGGCGTACGCGCGGAAAGAAAGACCGTCAGCGGCGAATGAGAGGCAGAATGCAGGACGCACACTGCAATGAGCCCGGGTCCCCTCCCTCCGCCGCTACCCCCGCCCCACCGCACCACATGTGCAAGCGGATCCCGCCTCCCTCCCCCGTCCGGGGCCCCGCAATCTGTACGCGCCGTGCGCGAGCTCCGCCCCTCCCTACCAGCGCAAGGCAAGGACACCAAGCTCAGCCCGCTCTACCCGGCTAGGCTAGTTCCCGGGCCGCACTCGGTTCCAGAACTTTCGGGAAAGCGCCGCGCTCTCCTCAGGTCAAGGGTTAAATTGCGTCATTTCCTGAAAGGGACGAAGGGGCTGTTCTTTCTCCTAATCGGACGGCCTAGAAAAGCCTAGAAGAGTTTCTCAATTCTTCCGCCTCCCGATCCTTGCGTCAGCGGCTTGCGCAGCGCCCCATGGACGAATCGTTGCACGCGCAGATGCTGCTGCTTTCTCGCAGGGCGGGGCGGGGTCGGGATGATCGCGCCTGCGCGTTGCTCACCCTTTACCCACGTTCACGTGTCTCGAGGACCGGATTGCAGGTCTCACCTTGCGGCTGCGTGGCGGGAGTGGAATACGAGCTGCAGCAACCAGAGAGTCATGGTGAGTTCCTCGTGGTCTGCGGGCCAGCGGGGCTGGGTCAGTCTGAAGTGAATGAGGACCATGGACAGCCACATCGGGGCCTGGCCGGAGGGGCAAGGGTCACTTAGTGTCCGGTGCTCCCCTAGATCCTGGAGAGAGGAGACCCCTGGAGAGAAGTCGTCCTGGCCCGAAGGCGAGGGCCTAGCGGACCCTTCCCAACACCGAAGACTTCGTGTGCCTGTCTTGGTGCAACATGCATGTAGGGAAAGAGGAGGGAATCAAGACAGGTGGCGCGCCGGGTTAACTACTCGGGCTTTGTGGGTATATGATCTCTTGGAAAAAAAAGCATGTCCCCAGGAAGACGGATTGATTCTGTTTCCTGAAAACTTCCAGAAAAACCTACGAGAGGGCAATATTTGACCTTGGAATAAACTAAAGTTGCCCTTAAAGCTAACATAACTACTGACCAGAGGAGCAACAAGGACCCCTAACAGTTATAGGGAAGGAGAAATTCAAAGTGGAATATAGAACGTTCGAATGTGATTGCTGAATTGATAATCTGGGTTTTGGTGTTTATTTTTGAAGGTGGAATTTTTCGTTTAAGATATAACAACGCCAATGGCGTCGCATGTTCTGAGAGGGTTTTTTTTTTTTTTTTTTTGCTACAAGTAAAAATGTCTTTTTTTTTACAGGCAGGACAGGCATTTAGAAAGTTTCTTCCCCTCTTTGACCGAGTATTGGTGGAAAGGAGTGCAGCTGAAACTGTAACCAAAGGAGGAATTATGCTTCCAGAAAAATCTCAAGGAAAAGTACTGCAAGCAACAGTAGTAGCTGTTGGAGCAGGATCTAAAGGAAAGGTAAAAAAAAAAAGCTAGAGGGTGTTTTGTGTGCAGGGAAAGGGTGGAAAAAGAAATCATGGTTTATCATTAAAAGCAACCTTTTAACTATTTTGTGTTATCTTAAAATCATTCCCTGGTTCAACCACCTTTAATCTGCCTCTTTGACAAAAACGATTGTGAAATGAATTTTACAGCATGGTGGTTTCCAAAATATTAAAATTGCCCCTAAAATGAGTTAGATTATGCTTCATAGAAAGTGCTGGGACTTTGAGAATTTAGAGGAAGCTTGATTTGTTGGTCTAACTCTGAAACACTGAAATTGTTGTAATCCATTAACCGTTTGAGGCCTTCATTGGCATACTGTCTAATATTTATTGGCTAGATCTCAGATATATCTAAGTATGTTAGGCAGAATATACAAAAATACCATTGAGGCCAAATACGTTAACTTATATATGAGGTTCAGTGGCCTCTCGAGAGGAAGTTCTAGTATCTTGGAGTCAAGCCTAGGGAAGTTCTGGCACCCTATGTGTCAGCCCCTTCCCTTCAAAACTTTTGTACTGTAAAAGACTAACTGGGCTTATTAGTCTGATAGAGACTGGAGAAATCCCCGAGACTGGGGCCTGGAATTCAACTCACTCCCTGGCTTAACCTTTAGCCAAACAGTAGGCCCATAAGGTTAACAGTTACACTAGGGAAGTGCAGTCCTTAAAACAGTCAGCCATAGAATCAGAAGGGCAGCATTACAGAGGAAGAAAACTCAAAAGGTAGTCATGCACAGAAAAGGACACGGAAAAGTTAACCATAGGGAGGAAATGGGAAGAGAGGTGTTACCTAGTTTGTAGTCAGTGTCACAAAACAAAATGTGTATGAACTGTTGAATAGAAAATTAATATACTGTATAATTTTCACCCAAATCACAATAAAAACTTTAAAAAAAAAAAAACAACTTTATTTTGGAGGAAAAGAAAATGAGTTACAGGAAAGGTTTGTATTTTAAACTACAGAAAACATATATGTTGAAAGAAGTTAAATATGACCATTCTGTATATGGTTTTAAAAACTGGCTATTTCAAATACTCGATAGCTTAATATTTAAAAATTACAAAATTGGCTTTGGTTAGCTAAAGTTATCTTTTCCAGTGTAACTGTGAACTTTTACATTGAAACTGAGTTTTAGTTTAAGCCGTGATGTGTGTGTGTTATCAGATGATGTGTACATTCTTTTAAAGTGTAACTGTTTACAGTGATATTTATGTTTGAAGAATTAGCAGTCTGACAGAGTATAATACTGTTTGTAAAAACAAAATGTGAGTCACTAAATTATATCATTTGTCCAGCAGTGCATTTTTCATATATTGGAGTAAGCACACTTGATTAATCATAGTGACTTAAGTATAAATATTTAGTGAACTAATAACAAACTTCTTTATTTTCTTAAGGGTGGAGAGATTCAACCAGTTAGCGTGAAAGTTGGAGACAAAGTCCTTCTCCCAGAATATGGAGGCACTAAAGTAGTTCTAGATGACAAGGTGTGTAATCTTAATAACTTTAAAAAAAATGTATTTGTTAGTAGTTCTCTTAATTAATTGTTTCTCTGTTTACAGGATTATTTCTTATTTAGAGATGGTGACATTCTTGGGAAGTATGTAGACTGAGATCAAAATTAAAATGGCATCACGTGAAGCTGCCGGTTCCACTGAAGTTCTGAAGTCTTTCATCATGTAAATAATCTCCCTATTCTCTTTTGTAATAAACTAATGATATCCAGTGTCTCTAACATTCAGTTTCACTGTATTAAAACAAATATTTCCAAATAAAAATATGTAAATCAATGGTTAATTTTTGTTCAGTACCTTAAGTTGAATTTAGACTTTTAAAGTAGTTGTGGTTTTTTCCTCTCCAAGTAACCCACAGATAATTCTGGAGAACAAAGTGGTTTTCTAGGTAGACGCATTTTCACACTGAATTTTGCTTTGTTACAGAAATAATTGGTGTTGATAGGAATCCTTATGTTAACACTTACAGTATAAGAAATGTAAACAAAACATTACAACTTTTCACACAAAACAAACTTATAATGGTAAAGTACTGTTGTTCATTTCTGGAATCTATTAAATATTTACTTTCTTTTCAAGGTTTAGCCAAATTTATTTCCTAACATGAGTGTTTCAAGTTTTTAAAACTACTACAAAATTTACTTGGCAAAAAAAAAAAAAAAAAGGGGAAAAAAAACAACACTTAAATTAAAAAAAAAAAAAAAAAAAAAAACCAAGGCAAGATACATAAGCTAACATTGAGTGCCTTTTGAACGGTAGGGTAGGCACTGTGATAGAAATACTAACAAACACTTGTAAGCATTTTCTACCTTGCTGACTGCTGTTGTTAGCACACTGCCATCCAGGCGATCCTGACATAGCTATGCATATATCTGTTGATACATGAGCTCTAGATACGATTCCATTTTGCTGTCAAGGAAGCTGAGGCACAGAGGGATTAATAACCACAGTGGTTCACTGGGAAGTAACAAAGCCAGGGTTTGGCTATATGCAGTCCACCTCATACTGCTGTCTAGAACTTGATACTTTGTGTCTTTTGTTTGCTATTGTCAGATACTTTTAAATACTTGATAAATGTTATGTCAGTTACATCCCTGTGATAATCACTTGTGGTATGGGTAGTGAGAAGTACCTAAAAGATCAAGTTGTTACTTGCTCTCAAGTCAACTCTGACACAACCCAGTGTGTATAGATTAGAACTCCAGAAGGATTTCAACCTGTGACCTTTGGAAAGCAGATTGTCAGGCCTGTCTTCTGAGTTCCTCTGAGTGGGTTTGAGCCGCTAACCTTTCAAATGATAGTCCAGTGTTTAATAATTTGTGCCACCCAAGGACTACCTGGCACCTACTTGCCGTCAAGTCAATTCCGACTGTAGGACAGAGAACTAATGGTAGCAGACTGCCACATCTCCCACACTCTGGTATGGCTTTGTTATGTGCCGTCGAGTCAGCCCTGACTCATAGTGACCCCTCCTTGGGTTTCCGAGGCAGTATCACTACGGAAGTAGGATTGCCCAACCTTCCTTCCGAGGAGTGGCTAATGGGTTTGAACCGCCAGCCATCTGGTGAGCAGTCAAGTGCCTTAGCCACTATGCTACCAGAGCTCCCAACTTTGGCTTCAAACCACAGACCTTTCAGAAGCCAAGCACTTATTCTGCCACCAGGCCCCCTTTTGTCTGGCACTTAGGCATCTAGCAATTTGTTGAATTTAATAAGGAAACAGAAGTGGTTAGGTATTTTGCTTTAGCTATAGCATCTAGGGTTGGGATTTGAACCCCAATAATCCTCGGAAGGAAGATGGGGCAATCTACTTCCGTAATGATACTGTCTCGGAAACCCAAGAAGGGGTTGCTATGAGTCGGGGCCTACTCGACGGCACATAACGACGACAACAACAAATCCTATAGCAGAGTTAAAGAGTGCTGGTTAACGCCTTAATTAGAGTTAATTATCAACCCCTAAACTGACTACCTCTCAGCTACCAACTATTCCTTAGTATGCAAACATTTTTTAGTTTTGCTCCATATCAACTATTTTGTAATGCCTTAAAAGTCATTTATCTTAAATGGGTAGAAAGTAGTGTATTATGTGTATTTTTAATATATACCTCCAATATGTATTCATATAATTATTCAGATATAAGAATTATGACTACAAGCTTTGTCTTAGGGCATCCAAATTGGTCACCCCTTTCCTACTCTTCCCCAGACAAAGCTTGATAATGTGCTCTGAACATCATAACCTTGTGAACACATTTCCCTAATGGAAACTGGCTCATGAGATGAGGAAAGTGTTCAGGGCCATACAGCTGGTAAGTTGAGACATTAGGAATGCAGGGCAAGGTCTTGGCTTTTCTCTTAAGCCTCTTGCTGTTTGCTGCAGATTCAGATAAAGGAGTTTTGAAATCTCAAGTGATAGTTTGCAAGCTTTGGTCATCACTGGAATTAATTACCTGGTGTACTTACCAGGGCCTCATCCAAGACCTACTAAATCAAAAGGCAGATGAAAGAGTTTTTGTACCATATCCTACCTTTGTGATACTCGTCTAACAGAATTGTTAAAGATTTCTATTGTTGAAGATAACAGAAAAACATTTACCACTAATTTCTACATGTACAATTCAGAGACTGATTACATTCTTCAAGTTGGGCGACCCATTATTCTCACCCATCTTTTCTGAATTATTCCTCCATTAACATAAACTCACTGCTCCCTAAGCTTATCAAGTTGTCAGTTTGATGCTAATTTGAGCACAGTGCTCAAGAAAGATGATCATTTACAAATTCAGCTAAACTTGTTTGGTTTGTGGGGGACTTCAGGTGATATTTTTGGTTTAAGGTTTAAAGATTATATAGAATTTTAGGTTGTGAGATTACATTAATAAAATAGGCAAAAGAATTCTGACAAGATTGCTTGAGAAAGTGACGCCGAAGATAAGGACATTGGGAGGGTAAAACTGTTCTGGTTAACTAGTGCCGCTCTGACGGGAATATACCACAAATGGGATGCTTGAACAAACAGGAGTTTATTCTCTTACAGTTTGGAGGCTTTAAGTCTGAGCTCAAAGTGCCAGGCTCTAGCGGCTGGGTGAAAGCCTCTCAACCTTAGGCTGCAGCTTTGCCTCCTGCTTCCAGTCCACTGAAGCTGGAGGCTTTTCTTTACTCACAGCTGCTGGCTGCTAAGACTGACAAACCCAAGATGGACAAGTGAAAAGGAACAGTCCTGATTTTACCAAGCCACATGGCGGGCCCTTAATTCAAGTCCATTGAAATTCCCAAGGTCAACAAAGCATGGCACTCTGCAGAACGGATGACAAGGCTACATGCAGGGTTCAAGAGTGCCATAAGCTAGAGACCAGTCCCAAAGCTGCTGCTTATATACAGAAAGCAGACCACATCCCTAAAGCAGCTACTCAGCTGCTTGTGGTAGATCCCGCCATGGACTTGATTGTCAGTTTCATCATGGGGAATAACTACCACCAGCTGCCCAGCCGCTCAACCAGACCCAGCCAAGTTCACACACAACCTTAACTACCACAAGAACCACATTTCAGAAAGAATATTGTCCTTCTGTTTCTGTTGAAGCAGAAAAATAATGTAATTAAACAGGAGGAAAGTCAACAAAATAGGTAAAATTCTCACAGGGATTTTCAAGATAATATTAATTAACATTTTTTGAGCACTTGCAAAGCACTATTCTAGACACTTAGCATGTAACCCTCCTTAATTATGCAGACTCATAGCAACCCTTTGAGACAGGTATTACTTCCTTATAAATGAAGAAATATATGGGAGAAGTGGAATGATTTGCTCAGGCTGACACAAATTTTTAAGTGGCAGAGTTGGAATTGAACTCAAGTCCCTCTGCCTTCAAAGTCGGCTTCTTCCAGTATTCCACACATAAGAAATTTAGGAAGTTGAAAAGAAAACATTATCAGGGAGCCATTTTATCGCAAAGATACAAACATTATTTCGATTATTGTTTCCTAAAGTATGAATACTGTATAAAAAGTTATTTTTAAATGTGGAGTCATAACGTTTTATATATTAAAGGTACTAACTTGTCACATTTGTTTCTGGTTTGCTTTCTGATGTGAAATTTTTATTTACATCTAATCAAATTTCATTTTTCTACTACTTTTGAACATTTAAGTAATTGACACAATTTATTTGTGTATGGTATACGTGTCTGACTTTATTTTTTTAATCAATAATTAGCTTGTCCCAGATTTATTTATTGAATTATGCATTCTTCCTCCCTCCTTAATTTGAGATGATACCTGTATCATGCATGCATTAAAAATTTATACGTCTATTTCTGAGTTTTATATCTGCTCTAGTGATCTTTCAATGCTATCACATGGCCGTCAAGTTGGCCTCCATCTCATGTGACCCCACGACAATGGAATGAAACTCTGCATGGGTCTCTGTCATTCCCATGATCAGTTGCAGATCAGACTGTGGTGATCCATGGAGTTTTCAGTGGCTGATTTTCAGAAGTACATCGCCAGGCTGTTCTACCCAGCTCATCGTAGCTCTGCTAAAATCTCTTCTTTATTTAAAGCAAACACACAAACCTCCACTGAGAGATGTTCCTGAAGTGCATTGCTTAGGAATTGAAGCTGAGTCTCCCACACAGAAGGTGAGGATTCTGCCACTGAACTACCAATGCCCTTTTCAATATAAACAACTTCATAGTAAAATTTAACATCTGATAAAAACAAGTCCTCCCTATATTTTACAATGTCTTTGGATGGCTGTGAACATTTTAAAGTTTCTTTGTGAGGATGATTGGATTGCTTCTTCCAGCAAGTTATCACTGTATCCACACCAAAATGGCAAAAGCATTTGACTGTGTGGATCATAGCAAATTATGAATGATATTGAGAAGAACGGGAACTCCAGAACACTTAGTTGTGCTCATGAGGAACCTGTACATAGACCAGGAGGAGGCTGTCGTTTGAACGGAACAAGGGGACACTGCAGGATTTAAAATCAGGAAAGCTGTGTGTCAGTGTTGTATCCTTTCACCTTACTTACTCAATCTGTATGTTGAGCAAATTTGAAAAGCTGGACTATATGAAGAATGTGGCAT